CCTTTGATTACTTATGCTTCAAACAGTAATTTTTATTTTACTTTCTAGTTCGAAATATAAACATCACAAATCTAACTTTTAAAGAGTTATTGTTTTAAGCTACTTTTAGGATGGACCTATTGCATGAGTTAGTCTCGGCTATACCATAGGTAGCCGAACCATTTTTCTGAAAGTGGACGCTGAAGAGTTTGAAGGCTATGGTCTATCCGTGAGCCACGCCAAAAAGTGTCCTACACAGGTGGAAGTAAGGCTTAAACCTCGAGGTTTCCACTACCAAACAATAAAAAATATTCATTTTGAAAAGCATATAACCAGCGGAGATGGGATCGGTTCGTGTTTTTCGGGAACCAAACCAATTTTGGTTCGATTCGGTTTGAAACTGAACCAGTCCCACCTCTATTGGATACAAACTTGATCACACATTACTTTTCTGAAATAGACAGATATAATAGATCGTGAATTTCAGACGTACTTAACTCTACTAAACTTAGAGAATTTTGAACTTTCACTATATAAAGTAATTTACAACTCTGTAACATTTGATTTTCGTTGTTGTAGTTAACTGGTTATTGATGAATTGGTGGTGTATGTTCATAGCTTATTTAGAGACAAGAAATCAGTAGAGATTGATAGAGAAAAAAAACTGATTATGAGAGAAAGTTAGGGGTATTGTTCAAGGAAGGTCTTGAAATCTCTCCTAAAAGGAAATATTGATATCAATATTATTCATTCGATAATAAATATATCTCACCATAATAAATCGATATATAGATACTGTCAAACACTTCTTGTTAATAAATTATATTAATCTAAATAAGAATGAATTCGCATCATTTGTATAATGACACGACTAAAATTTCGACGTTGAAGTTTTAAATCTATTCTTGGACATGAAAACTGATGTAAATGTAAAAATTTCACAAAATCGAACACCATTGACAATTGTGTGAGATTATTTAACGTTTAACTTGACATTTCTGGGAAGTGTACTTATACCCTGATAGAATTTATTAAGGAAAATTATTCGAACTTCTTTAGCGATAGAATAAAATAAATCATTTCCCTCACATGGGCACCACTAGAGCTAGAGAACTATCTTCTGGTTTATCTGTGAATCTGTGTGTGAGAACTAAAATACAAGATTTACTTGCGCAAACGGGCGCGACCATAATTTACTTTTTTGATATGTAAAAAAGGAGAAAAAAAACAAACAGAGCAAAAAAGAAAGTAAATCAGATAAAAACAGGACACATTTTGGCAGCAAAATCAACAATAAAAGACAAACCTACTAGGAATGGAAGAAATAGTTCACGAGAACCTATTTGGAGATTTTGCGCAAAAAAAAACAAGTATGTTTATTCGTCAGAGTATGGCTCAATCATAGAAAGACGGAAATGTAATTCTAAAAAATGTTTCAAAAACATTCTCATAACATTCTCATAACATTTCATTGCTATCTAATATACACACACACAAACATACACAATTAAGAAGAATTGACATAAAGAAAGACAAAGCCGTTTGATCAAAGCACTGCTTATCACCACAAAATTTGTCTATAGGAATGTTTTCGAAACGTTAACAAAAAATAAAAATGATAAATAAGCGCACACAACTACACATTCAGTTACACTTATATTTGACTATATTAAAAACATGAAATGTAAAATAGCAAACGACTATACTTGGAAATATAGGTACATTTTGGATTATCGTTTATTTACAAATCATCGTGTACCTCCTAAAAAAAATGTTTTATTAGATGAAAATTATCCAAATTTTCTTCACGTTACCTTTTGAGTTTTTGATTGTGTGGTATCTCTGTGAGTCGCGGTTCCTTTTATATCACTTTCATCTTCAATAATATCACCATCCATTGCTGTGGATGTGTTTTCATCCGTATTTAAATTGAGCGTTGATTCGTCATCTTCTAGTTCATCTTCAACTTTTTCATCTAACGGTATACCCATTGCTATTCGTAACATGTGTTCAATACGATCAGCAAAATCAGCTGTATTTTTCAAATCGTAGCCGGATCTTAACGTAGCTGCTTCAACCATTACATCGGCCAAATCCTTTATCATTAAAAACAATTCTCAGGGCGCAGTTTTACTCAAACAAAACACTTACCAATGCTGTTTTATCATCTTTACTGTCTTCAACACGTCTTAATAAATCTTTAATCAATGGATGTCTCGGATTTATCTCCAATGTTTTCTTTTGATTAAGATAATAACTCATTGTTGAATCACCGCCTGACTTTTGATAGGCTTGTGCTCGAGCTGAAAATAAATATGTAAAGGTTAAACAGTGAATTTTATATATAAGATCAGAGACATACCAATACGCTCCATATTTCCATCGTACCCCCATTGGGATGCGATTAGTGCCATTGGCTATAACAGAAACGCTCAATCATAGTTATTTAAATGTTAAAATTCAAATTCGCCTACCGTATTAACTAGACGATCAGACAATTTTGCATCTCCAATCTATAAAATAACAATGAATGATGAAATAAAAAGACACCATGAAACAGTAGGAACTACATGAACCAATGAGTAAAGATATAGAAAACTGAAATTATTTTCATATATCTTATCCCAATAAAACAAAAGAAAGTATCACTCACTTTATCTTTCAATTTATCTTTAAGCCAATTGATCAGTGGTTCATATGTTTTTGTTAATTCTTTTTTCATTTCTTCTTTTGTCGCATCTGCTTTATCTAACTCCAAACCATCTTTGGCTACATTTTGAAATTTTTTGCCTTCATATTCAGGTAATGATTGCATACCTGAAAAATGGAAAAAAACATTCGAATTGATTATTTGACATCGACACGAGCATCAACTTACAATATTGATCAACAGGATCAGTTAAGTACAATATTTCGTAACCTTTTTTCAATATTTTCTCTACAAACGGTGACTTTTCGGCTTCTTCTATTGACATAGTGGCAAGGAAATAAATATGTTCTTGTTTCGGTTTCATACGTTCAATGTAATCACTTAAACTAATTTGTTTACCCTTTGATGCTGATGTGTTATAACGTAATAGTTTAGCTAAACGTGTTCGATTTGCTGTATCTTCGATGATGCCTAATTTAATATTTGTACCATATTCTTTCCAAAACTTTTCATAATCTTCAGCTGATATTTTTTTAATCATATCCAATGCTTTACGAACCAATTTTTTCTTAATTACTTTCAATAATTTACTTTGTTGTAATGTTTCTCGTGATACATTTAATGGCAAATCATCACTATCAACAACACCTCGAATAAAACTTAAATATTTTGGCATCATTTCTTCAAAATTATCAGTGATAAATACGCGACGAACATATAATTTAATAGCATCCGTTTTCTTATTATAATTTGAAAATAAATCGAATGGTGCCGTTTTTGGTAGATACAAAATTGATTTAAATGTAACTTCACCTTCAGCTGTAAAATGGGAATAAATCATCGGTTCGTCCGATTCACGTGTGAACGATTTATAAAATTCATTATATTCATTTTCTTTGACTTCGCTTGGTCTAAAACGAAAAACAGTTGGTGATAATAAAACTATGGAACTACACTTTGGCAGATAATATTTATTGCTTCTCGCCATTCCATCATCGTAGTATAACTAGTTACGTTAATTTAAGCTCTCTCAGAGGTTAAGCAAACAGCTAGTTGAGGTATTGACTAAATAATAATTTAGTGGTATAATAACGTGTATGTTCAGGTAAAAGCGTCTGCAAATTTCTGAACTTTTCGTTCAAATAATCCCCGTTTTTGTAAAAAACGTACTTTCGCTGCCATATTGGTTTCGCTTCATTCATTAATTCCCAATCCCAAATAGTTTTGTCAACTTTTTTTGTTTTGGGTTTCTTTTCTGCATCATCCTTTTCTTCTTCAACAGCTGCATCCGAATCTTCCGTTTTCGTTTCATCACCGGTTTTTGTTTCATCATTTGTTGCTGTTGTAGTATCATCATCCGGTACTTCTTCACTGATGGTTTTACTCTTCCATAAGAAAATATTAAAAGTAATAAACTGTGAATATTTGCGAATAATTTCTTCAAGTTTACTTAGTTCCAAATATTCTTGAGCTTCTTCTTTCAAATGAACACTAGAAGAAGAAGGGAGTATAGTCAACAGTAATGTACTCTTAGAATATCAATCAAACTCACGTAACAGTTGTACCGCGTCCGAGGGAATTTCCTCTTGGATCTTTCATGACATTGAATGAATTCGAATCTGACTCCCAAATCCATTGATCGTCATCATTATGTTTCGATGTGACAATAACACGATCAGCAACCAAAAATGTTGAATAGAAGCCAACCCCAAATTGTCCAATTAGATCGTTCATTGTTACATTGCTATCCGTTGATTTTTGTGCCTCTTGCATTTTATTCAAAAATTCACTTGTGTCTGATTTAGCAATAGTACCCAAAAATTTGACTAAATCATCTCTTGTCATGCCGATACCTGTATCTGTGATATGTAACATACGGTTTTCTTTATCAACCTAAATGAATGTCAGACAAATGTAGCTTTCCAATAGATAGATAAACAAGCTAATTACTTTTATCCTAATCACTAATTCTTCTTTATCTCCGAGTACACCTTTATCGGTCAATGACAAGAATCGGATTTTATCCAAAGCATCGCTTGCATTTGATATCAATTCACGTAAAAATATCTCTTTGTTTTTATATAATGAATTGATGATTAATTTCATCATACGATTCACTTCCGTTTGAAATTGATGTTTTTCGGATGCATCAACAAGTGTACGGTATTCTTTCGCACTAAGTCCATCAAGTTTGATTGCTTCTTCTTCTCTGAAAAACAAAAAAAAAAGAAAACTATTAATAAAGAAACATGTTACACAGCGAAAATACTTACTTTTGAACAACTTCGTCATCTGTCCGAGAGCCTTCTGCATGTTTTCCAATATCTTCATCGACTTTAGGTATAGATGTTACTTCATCATCATCGGCTTTCACAACACCTACGGCAATATAGAATAAAATTATTCATACGACTCTACTTAAGCCAGTCGTAAACAACTTACATGTAAATAACAATGCTGTAAAAAGTAAGCATACAGTCAGCCACTTTTGACTGAGCATGGTTGTGAATTAATAATTAAACAAGCGATTTAATTGAATTGCGTTTCAATAAAACTTGGTAAAATATGCTGTTGTTCCTTTTTATAGGTAGTCGATAAACGTGAGACGCTCTATCCCAAAGTGCTGTCGAGTTACCGGCTCAATAAAACGAGTCCGTTGTTTCCGACTACTCATTACTAAGGATTGCTATGGTGTTTCGTGTACCAATCAAGAAAAAACAACTAGCAATGACGGTTACAATCCGTAGACCAGTAAAAAATGGCATTTATACCTGCATCAAAAAGAAGATTAAAACTTCGTTTTCTGTAATTAATTTTCTAAGAGATCATGCCGTTTAATTCACCGAACATGGGTCTTTGAAACTATCTCAGAGATACCAATTTTTTTTGCTATCGAGGTCGCTCTGTATCGAAAGTGGTCAGTATTTGACAACTTTTGGTTTAGAGTCCATGTTGTATTTTATTCGAGTTTACTCAAAACTCGAGAGAGCTGTCGCTATTAGGCTTCCAAGACCTTTAAAATTTGCCCAAAAAAATTCAGACTCGATTAGTTTACTAAAGTCCGATGTTTTTCTTGAAGAATATTCACTCGTACATATTATAGCTGACTTTTACGTTGTGCAATCTGACTTTTCTCTACGTCTGTGAAGACAGAAAATAGTTAGAACCTGAAACATTTTCTATTATTTAAATGCACGTTATGTTCTTCTTTATCTTTCCTCCTGAAAAGAAGAGTTTATTAAGGAACGATGATGTAGACCAAGCAAAAGTATCCCAGACTAAAGAAAACTGACATTTAATAACTCATGCATAGTCTCCGCGCATTAACTGTATGACTAAAAAGAGACTCTTAAACCCGACTAAAAACTGCCCGTCAACAGTCATTGTTTATTGCCTGTGATTTTATCGTGAATCATGATCTAACAGCAGGCATTTACATGCATGTATCTGAAACTGGAATTCAGATTGGCCGTTAACATGCCATTTTAATGCTAAATAGTAAACATATATCAGGAAAAAACTGGCATTTAACATGCAAAAATGGCCTCAAAATGGACATCATAAAACGTCTATTTTTTGATCGTAAAAAAGCTACCGATTTTCAGGTATTGATACTAGTGTAAATGTCCAAATTAATGATCTAATATCCATTTAAGAAATATCCGATGGATTATTAATGATTATTGAATATACAAAATAATCACACTGTTTTTGACGTTGTGGGAAGTTTTTCGAGAAGGAGGCATAGAAATTCCAAATTTGTCCATTGTACATACCCTAGTCGAGACTCCTGATTAATCTCCCGCAGGAGTCCTGGAAAAAAAGTCCTACAGGAGTCAGCAGGAGTCCTGTCACGGGATCCCGGCAGGATCCTCTATGGAGTCATGGAGGATTTTTAAGGGATTCAAGAGGGATTCCTCAAGACTCCCACAGGAGTTCTATGGGATTCTTAAGGAAGTCCCTGGGGAGTTCTCGGGGATTTTCAAGAGAGTCCTTGGGGACTC